AATTTGTGTATGCAATAATTTCGCCAAAATCATTCTGAACCTAACGAAAAAAATATATTTCGCTGTGTTTGTTTAGTATTAAATTATTGTAAACAAATCTAAAATATATTAGTTGGGTTAGGCTAAAATAAATTGCGCTTGTTATGATAAGGTTAGGTAAGTTTTCTAAGATTCTTTTGGTGCAAAATTAAAAATTTTTACATTAACAATAATGAAAAAAATATATCTTGAAACGTATAAGAGAAAAATTTCAGAAAGGACTTAATTTTAAATGAGTTCTTGCTGATTGACCAGTTTTACATATTCGGCACTACATATATATATTATATATTTTATATATATATATATATATATATATATATATATATAAAATATATATATTATATATTATATATATATATATATATATATATTCAAGGCAAGTGACACTGGGCGACTGAACTGAAGTCCATACGTCAGTTCAATTAGTCTAAATGAGGCGGAGAGGTTGTGTTCACCATCTGAGATGAGAGAGGTGTCAGTCAAGCCACCTGAAGAGCGAGACAGGGCAGGCCAGGGTATATGGAGTTACAGTTATCATACGACCTGCCGTGGTACTCTGCCTCCACGTAGTCGTGCATCAGGTCTGAAGACGACGATGATGACGCTCTGGAAATTGAGGATGATGGATCAAGGCCTCTCCAGGTCAACACACACACACACACACACACACACACACACACACACACACACACACACACACACACACACACACACACACACACAAAATTTTATATTAATATATATTATATATATATATATATATATATATATATATATATATATATATATATATTATACATACGTGGGGAACATTGTGAGTAACTTCCAGATACCAAGGTAGCACTCTATACTGATACCACTGATACAGTCCATGAGCGCTAGGATATCATAGGGAGATCGGCAATAGACCAACCTATAGGCGTGGACCACACAGTAATAAAGAACTACACATTCACTCGCTCAATCTTCAGAGTAAGTAAGTTTATTCAGGTATACACAAATACAGTTACATAGATTATCATACATAGCAGCATATGTGTAGAGAACCTGGGATAACCCAAAAGTCAGACAGGGTGACTTTTTTCCACTGGGGTCCTTTTACCTTATTATTATAATATAAAAGTTATAATATCTTATTATTATTCTATAATGGAGATAACATTTTATTGCTATACTAAAAGACTATCTACTACACGAGGGTCATTAAGACTATCTACAATACGAGGGTCATTACTAGGAATAATGCAAAATTACTCGCGTGTTAGTTAAAAAAAATAAAAAATCATTCCCCTCCTTTTCTGTAGCTACATTCATCAGACAATTTCGTTACTCTTCTTGAACTGGTTCATGCTATGACTGGCTTTGAAATGTGCTGGCAGTCTGTTCCATTCCTTTATTGCTGTACAATAAAAGGTGTTTGAAGCCTGGCCACTGACTGTGGCTACTAGTTGTGCTCTCTCCCCCTAGTACTACGATTACTTTGGTTCCCAGCCTTGACAAAATTGGCAGCAAGATATTCTGGACACTGTTTGTGAGCAATTTTATAAAGAAGATTTAGCTTCAGTTGTTTTACTCTGTCTTCAACATTCAGTATATCCAACTGTTGTAATTCATCCTGGCCTATATGCTCTCTTGGACCCAGGCCCAGGTTGAATCTTGCTATTTTGTTCTGGGTGATTTGCAGTCTATCTTTCAGTTTTTTTGTCAAGGCAGAGTACCATGAAGAGCAAGCGTAATCCATATGACACTGTATAAGAGCTAGACATAGGGTCCTGCGAGCCTCAGTAGGTAGACACGGCTTGTCTATAGATGAATTTCAATCTGGCATTCACTTTCTTTACTACACTGTTCCCTATCAATTCTCCTGACATGCATGGGTCAAAGGGGATTCCCAGATATTTTACCGAGGAAACTGAAGTGATGGGCTCCCCATTACACTGGACAATACAATTATTTACCCTTCTCAGTTTATGTTTCGTGCCAAAGAGAATGGCTTCAGTTTTCCCGAGGTGTAATGATAGTTTGTTGTCTACTAACCATTTGCTGCAGGACTCCAGTTCCAGTGTTAATACATTAGCTATATCTTGTGGGTCTTTACCTGACACTAATAGAGCACTGTCATCTGCATACAGTACGAGTTTGCACTTGACACTGATAGGCATGTCTTTAACATAGCATATGAATAATAAGGGACCCAGAATACTACCTTAGGGAACTCCGCATGCTATCGGCAGGGGTTCTGATTCCGTTTTGTTGATTTTGACAATTTGTCTCCTGTTGCTAAGGTAGGACTTAAACCAGTCTATAGAACCAATACCGATAGTTTGAAGCTTTTTACATAATATATTGTGATTGACAGTATTGAAGGCCTTTTGCAGGTCTAAGGTTACCATACCTAAGAGGTTCCCCATTGACATTTCAGTTCTCAAATAATCCATCAGATTAATTAGGGAGGTGTCGGTTGAGTAAGATCTTTTAAAGCCTGATTGATAGCTATGGAGAATGTTGTTGTCACTAAGGTACTTAACTACTTGACAGTACACCGCCCTCTCTAGAATTTTGGATATTATACTGAGTATACTAACAGGCCTATAGTTGCTTACATCAGACCTACTATTTTTCTTGAGGAGAGGAGTAACTCTGGCCTCCTTGAATCCTTCCGGTACGGTATTAGTGGTGATGGACAAATTTATTATGTGAGCAATCGGGATTACCAATTCAGAAGCACCATCTTTTAGGAACTTAGATGGGATGTTATCCGGGCCAGTGCTCTTAGTTGTGTTTAACCTGCTTAGTTGTTTTTGAATAAAGTCAAGAGATACACTTACTAGCTGACAACTGTTTGGGGTTACCCCTTTATTGGTATAGTATGTTTGAAACTTATCAGAGCCTGTGTTAAACGTATTTGATTCAGCTGGTAGGTTACTTACTAGTGTTGATACAACAGATGAGTAGTAGGAATTAAAAGAATTTGCCACCTTAGATGTTTCGTGGCATACCTCGTTGTCGATAGTGAGTACTATGTTAGACCTATCTACTGGTTTATGGTTATACCCCAACTGTTTTAGTTGTTGCCAGAGTTTTCTGGGGTTATGCTTATCCTCTTCAATTTTTGAGCAATAGTGCTTTGCCTTTGCTCCTTTTATAAGTCTCTGCACTCTGTTCCTCACCCTTTGGAATTCATTTAGTGCTGCAATATCCTGTCTGTTTGCTTTAAATCTTTTTAGTAGCTGGTCTCTGAATTTCATATTCTCTAATATCTCAGTAGTCATCCAGGGTTCAGTTCTTCGTTTAATCCTGACCTCTTTAACTGGTACAATATTATCAAGGATGGTAGTGAACATTGTTCTGAATTTTTCCCAGGCATCGTTTACGTCCGTGCAACTTGTTATCTCTGTCCAGTCACAATTGTGTAGCCTATTTACCAGTGTTTCTTTACTGTAGTTTCTAGTTGACCTCATTTTTATTGTCCTGTGTAGGCCTATCCTATCCCTAGTGATTTTCCTGATGCAGTAAATGATGAAATGATCACTAAGGCCTGTGGTAATGACGCCTGACTGACTAGTGTTCTCAGCGCGGTAACAAAGTATGTGGTCAATTAGTGTGGCTGAGAACTTTGTGATCCGGGTTGGTGTATTAATTAGTTGAGTGTAACTATTAAACCTAGAATTTGCTTATACCTTTTGCATAGCCCGTTATTTTGCTGCTGAAAACAGATATTGAAGTCGCCCAGTATTATTGTCTCGCAATTGTTTTCAAGTCTTCTAAGAACTGAGCCTGGGTGGGAGGGCGGTAACTAGCTCCCACTAAGATGGGTTTAGTCTTGGGAAGCAGCACTTCAAACCATAGAATCTCCAGTTTATTATTATCTAAATCAGGTCTTGGGTTGTAAGATAAGTCATTTCTAATGTAGGCACATACTCCACCGCCCTTTCCGTTCTTATCTAAGCGTTTTATATTGTAATCTTCTATTTTGACCTCGTCGTCAGCCACCGTATCATCCAACCAGGATTCAGAGATGGTTATAACTCCCGCCCTAATTCTGTTAGCTAGAATCCTAATTTCTGCCAATTTTGGAAAATTGATCTTGCGTTGACATGAATAAAGTGAAGGCCTGTTTTCATAAAACAATTATAATCATTAATATACGGCAATGGGTCATTTGTATTAAAATTAGGTAAATCAATGTCATCATTGCTAAAGGGTAACTGTGCCAAAGTGCATTTGTTACACACAAAATGAATTCTGGCACCGTTACTATAACTGTACAAACATCCACCATGCACGCACCCTTTAAACATTTTACATAAGGTGTCTTTTCTGTTCTTCTTTCGCACTTTAGTACAGTGTATGCACCTGTTTGGTGGTGTTTGAGATAATAATAATGGCTGTATTGTCTCACATTGGCCTATGTATGCATTACATATGGATTTAAGATTATCATTCCTAGCTACTAGACCGTCATTAACACTGTCACTTATCTGCCTGTGTTGCCTCTGCAAAATAATTTAAGGTTCTGGATTTGTTTGGATATCACCACTTAAGAGCACTACAATAAGAGTTGTGTGCCACTGTTTTTGTTTGGGTATGCGGTGTTGCCATACCTTGCGGCGATAGTTACATATACGTTTTTGATAGGGTGACAACTGTTGGACTTTTACTGTCCAGGGTGCTATTACCCCATTCGCCTTTTCCAGCCCCCCATGACTGATTTCCTTCTTCACAGAATAGCAGGAGAAAAATAAATATAATTATGGCAGCCTGTGCCCCCCTAACACCTACCATTTTCAATCTTTTAATCATGCACAATAATATTTGTTTCTCTTTTCCAGGTCTGCTCTAGCATCACCACTGATTACTGTTAAATTTCCTTCTGACCTCTGCTAAGTGCATTGCCAAAGTGGTGGCTCAGTACTCACGTTAAGTGTTGTGGAGATAACCTGATAAATGGTACTTACGTGAGGAGGGCGGTGATGACCTCGCCCAGTATGCCGATACCAAGTATGGAAGACTGTGATCCCTCACACACCGCCCGCAGGAGGCACTCCTTGCCGTTGATACCAAACCTGTGATGAGGATAGTAGGTTTATTATATATATATATATATATATATATATATATATATATATATATATATATATATATATATATATTATATATATATATATATATATATATATATATATATATATATATATATATATGTCGTGCCGAATAGGCAGAACTTGCGATCTTGCCTTAAATAACAACGTTCATCTTGCCATATAAGACAAGTGAAAATTTTTGTATGCAATAATTTCGCAAAAATCATTCTAAACCTAACGAAAAAAATATATTTCATTATGTTTGTTTAGTATTAAATTACCGTAAACTTATTTAAAATATATTTAATTGGATTAGGGTAAAATAAATTGAACTTGTTTTAATAAGGTTAGGTAAGTTTTCTAAGATTCTTTCTGGTGCAAAATTATTAATTTTTAAATTATCATTAATGAAAAAAAATTTTTTAAACGTATAAGAGAAAATTTTAGAAAGGACTTAGTTTTAAATGAGTTCTTGCTAATTGACCAGTTTTACATATTCGGCACGACACACACACACATACACACATACATAATATATATATATATATATATATAATATATATATATATATATATATATATATATATATATATATATATATACAGTGGACCCCCGACTGGATGTTGTACTCCCTATGTAAGGACACACGATGGTGTGGATGACGCTAGGCTAATTTCATTCTAGACCCTGTTTGGTGTACTAGTTCAACGAGCAATGTTTTATATTATTGTGACCACGAATGAGTGGTATTGATCAACAACAACACTGCACTAGCCAAAGACTCGAACCCATGCTGCTTTGGCCTGTCTCATGGTGGACGAAAACGCATGACGCCTTAATCCACTGGACCATACGATCCTTAAGAGTAGCGCATCCAGCGGAACTAGATGTTGTACTCCCTACCCAAGGACACACGATGGTGTGGATGACTCTAGGCTAATTTCATTCTAGATCCTGTTTGATGTACTAGTTCAACGAGCAGTATTTTATATTATTGTGACCACGAACTTGTGGTATTAATCAATAACAAATAGGTGAGTACACACACACAGACACACACACACACACACACACACACACACACACACACACACACACACACACACACACACACACACACACACACACACACACACACACACACACACACTCACACACTCACACACACACAAGAAGAGGTATGTGAGGAAGTATGTAAAGAAGTATTTACAGTAGAGACAGGAAGGGCTCCAGGAATTCCGAATAGGGAGGTACCCCAACAAGTGCTGGATGAAATACACACAACCGAGGAGGAGGTGAAGAAGCTGCTATGTGAACTTGATACGTCAAAGGCGGTGGAACCAGACATCTCTCTGTAGGTCCTTAGAGAGGGAGCAGAGATGCTGTGTGTGCCACTAACAAAAATCTTCAACACATCCATTGAAACTGGGCATCTACCTGAGGTATGGAAGATGGCAAATGTAGTCCCAATTTTTAAGAAAGGAGACAGACATGATGCTTTAAACTACAGACCAGAGTCACTGACGTGTATAGTATGCAAAGTCATGGAAAAGATCATCAGGAGGAGAGTGGTGGAGCACCTGGAAAGACACAAGCTCATAAACGACAACCAGCACGGTTTCAGGGAAGGAAAATCCTGTGCCCCAAACCTACTGGAGTTTTATGACAAGGTAACAGAAGCAAGACACGAGAGAGATGGGTGAATAGACTGCATTTTCTTGGACTACAAGAAGGCCTTCGACACAGTTCCTCACAAGAGGTTAATGAAAAAGCTAGAGGGTCAGACACGCATAAGAGGAAAGGCACTGCAGTGGATTAGAGAATATCTGACAGGGAGGCAACAACATGTCATGGTACGTGACGAGGTGTCAGAGTGGGCACCTGTGATGAGTGGGATTCCACAGGGGTCAGTCCTTGGACTTGTGCTGTTTTTGGTATATGTGAATGACATAACAGAAGAGATAGACTCTGAAGTGTCCCTGTTTGCAGATGATGTTAAGTTAATGAGGAGAATTAAATTGGTCGAGAATCAGGCAGGACTACAAAGAGACCTGCTCAGGCTACAAGCCTGGTCCAGCAACTGGCACCTTGAATTTAATCCTGCCAAATGCAAAGTCATGAAGATCGGAGAAGGGCATAGGAGACCGCAGACAGAGTATAGTCTAGGTGGCCAAAGACTGCAAACCTCACTCAAGGATAAAGATCTTGGAGTGAGTATAATACCGAGCACATCACCTGAGGCGCACATCAGTAAGATAACTGCTGCAGCATATGGGCATCTAGCAAACCTAAGAACAGCGTTCCGATACCTCAGTAAGGAATCGTTCAAGACTGTACACCATGTACGTCAGGCCCATACTGGAGTATGCAGCACCAGTTTGGAATCCACACGTGGTCAATCACGTCAAGAAATTAGAGAAAATGCAAAGGTTTGCAACATGACTAGTCCCAGAGCTAAGGGGACTGTCCTACGAAGAAAGGTTTAAGGGAAATCGGCCTAACGACACTGGAGGACAGGAGGGCCAGGGAAGGCATGATAACAACATATAAAATACTGTGTATATATGTACAAGCACATATATACACACCCCTCTGGGTTTTCTTTTATTTTCTTTCTAGTTCTTATTCTTGTTTATTTCATCTTATCTCCATGGGGAAGTGGAACAGAATTCTTCCTTCGTAAGCCATGCGTGTTGTAAGAGGCAACTAAAATGCCGGGAGCAAGAGGCTAGTAACCCCTTCTCCTGTATATATTACTAAATGTAAAAGGAGAAACTTTCGTTTTTCCTTTTGGGCCACCCCGCCTCGGTGGGATACGGCCGGTGTGTTGAAAGAAGAAAAAGATATATATATATATATATATATATAATATATATATATATATATATATTATATATATATATATATATATATATATACATATATATATATATATAATATATATATATATATAATATATATATATATATATATATATATGTTTATATATAATATATATATATATATATATGTTTATTATAATATATATATATATGTATATATATATATATATATATATATATATATATATATATATATATATATATATATATATATATATATATATATATATATATATAATATATATATATCGAAATTATTTACAACCGTTACCTCAGAGCAGAAGACTCGAACCTGTGCACTTTGCATCAGACTACGGCATACTTATAGATGAAACAACGTAAACACAAGCCTGGTACTCCGGAGAATCGGAAGCAAAATGTCTGCTGAGTGCCCATACTTATCTGGTGTCTGTGTACTTTGATGCTGTGTGCGCAAGTTATCAGTGTAGAGGTTTGAGCAGTGTAGATATGGAATGTAATGGTGGTGTACGTGTAGTGGTGTACATATGGTGGTGGTGTACGTATGGTGGCGCGCGTATAGTGGTGGTATACATATGGCGGTTTACATATGGTAGTGTACATATGGTTGTGCACAGGTGTCGTGCCGCAGGTGTCATACGGCAGGTGTCATGACACAGGCGTCGCGACACAGGTGACATGCCACACAGACACAGGAACATCCTGCGGGGTGACAAGCAACTTGAACATAACATATAATTGACGCAAATGATGCCACATCATGAAGTAGTAATTAGCATTGTTATATATAATTAGCACACCTCGGCTGGTAAACACCAGCCACAACATGGCAGTGGAGTCGTAGGAATAGTAGGAAGAGTAATTGTGGAAATAGTAACATTAGTAGTAGTAACAGTAAAAGTAGTAGTACTGGTAGTGACAGTAGTAGTAATAGTAGTAGTAGTAACAGTAAAAGTAGTAGTGCTACTAGTAGTAATAATAGTAGTAACAGCAATAGTAGTAGTAGTAACAGTAATAGTAGTAGTAATAGTAGAAGTAACAGTAATAGTAGTGTAGCAGTAAGGGTAGTTGTGGGAATATTAACTCTAATAGTAGTAGTAGTAACAATAATAGTAATAGTAGTAGTAGTAATAATTGTAACAGTAATAGTAATTAGAGTAGTTGTGTGAAGTAACACTGATAGTACGTAGTAGTAGTGGCAGTCATGGCAGTAATAATTTTATTAGTAGCGGTGCAGTAGTGGTAGTAGTAGTAGTAGTACTAGTAGTAGTAGTAGAAAACAGAGGTAGAGTAGAAGGAGAAATGCGTAAAAAAAGACAATATATGACAAAAAAAAATAAAACAAGAATAGATGATAAACAAAGAAAAGCTCATGAGACTGTGAATTAAAATTTCGTCATGTTGGTACGAGAGAGAGAGAGAGAGAGAGAGAGAGAGAGAGAGAGATAGTGAAATAGAACTGACGAAGCCTACAGATCAGCCTTGGTTTGGTTTTCATTGTAGAGAGGCTGCTACTGCTAAGTACAAAGCATGGCGAAGGTATAAGAGATCCTACCACCTATAACAGGAACTTGCACAGGCAAACTTGCAGGCATATGGGTGACGTTCAAAAGTGGGCCATTGCTAAATGGGAGGTGGACACTAAAAGAAAGCTAGCATCAGGTAGGATAGGCTCCAAAACCTGGTGGTCCCTGGTCAAGGACAGACAAGGTTATCTGCCTGATTAACTCATTCCACCTCTAAATCGACAGGATGGGACCACCTCTACTAGTAGTCAAGAGAAGGCGGACCTCTTTGCTGAACACTTTGCTACCAAAATGCAAGTTCCTGATCCAGCAAGGGACCCTCCTTGGCTAGCTGCAAGAACTGTGTCAAAAATGTCAGTGGTGACAATAAGGCAGGAAGAGGTGCATTTCCTTCTTAAATCGCTTGACCAAGAAAAGGCTGTGGGCCCAGACAAGTTGAGCCCAAGATTGCTGAGAAGATGCGCAGACCAGCTAGCAGCACCTCTAACTCGCATCTTTCAGCACTGCCTAGTACAGTGTAAATGGCCCTCTCTATGGAAAGAGGCAAATGTAGTCCCTGTTCACAAAAAGAGCAGAGCAGAAATCAGCAACTACAGACCAGTGTCACTCCTGTCAATCACTGGTGAGATCCTTGAGACAATAATCTCAAGACAAATGACAGAGTTTTTTGACTACCACTCACTACTTTGTGATCGTCAATATGGCTTCAGGAAAGGTTACTCTGCTGCTGATCTATTGTTAAACCTCTCCACTAAGTGGCACCAGTTACTGGATGAATCCAAAGTCAGCTGTGTGGTAGCACTGGACATTGCTGGCGCTTTCGATCGCGTGTGGCACCAGGGCCTCTTAGCAAAACTTCAAGCACTTGGAGTTGCAGGTTCTACGCTATGTCTCCTCAGTGATTACCTACATTCGAGATCTCTAAGTGTAGTTTTCAATGGAACGGAATCAGCAAGACATCCTATTGGGGCAAGTGTTCCACAAGGAAGCGTGCTGGGACCATTGTTATGGAATGTCTACTTCAACGACCTTCTTCATCTCATCCCAGAATCACATGCATATGCAGACGACTGTACACTGACATTCACTTATCCAAGAGAAGAAATGCCAGCTGCTCTAAGCTACATCATTCACCAGCTGAGAGCTATATCAGCTTGGGGAAATAGATGGCAAGTAACATTTGCACCTGAGAAAACGCAAATGATGATCATCTCTAGGCACCATGATGGTAATGCTGGTGCAGTAGTAAGGATGAATGGGAGGGTGTTGGCACCTGGAGAAGTTGATATCCTTGGGGTGAAATTTGACTCCAAACTAACCATGAAGAACCATGTTGTAAATCTTGAAAACAAGGCAGCCAGGAAGCTTACAGCACTTCGCCGTATCTCGCATCTGCTTGACAGTAGGGGATGCAAGATTCTGTACGAGGCACAAGTACGCTCACACCTTGAGTATGCTCCACTTTCTTGGTTTGCCTGCCCCCCCCCCTCTCATCTGCGACTGCTTGACAGAGTAGAGAACAGAGCAAGACGTCTCATCTCTCGCCTGGACCCATCCTGGATAGATCTGTCATTTCAGCAGAGCCTTCAACATAGGAGGGATGTGGGTGGCCTTACTGTTATGTAAAAGGCCAATATTGTCAAAGTACCACACTTGGATCCACTTCGAGGACAGCGTGAAACAAGCTTTTATACCACAAGACGGGCAGAAAGCAGCAACTTCACTCTGGCTGTACCCTTCTCTAGAACATCACTCCATCAGAGATCCTATATACCCAGGATGACTCGAGTATGGAACACATTCGTACAGCATAATGATGTCAACGAGATAAAGTCAGTTGATCAAATGAAAACGCTGGCCCACAGATGGCTCCAACTTCATCCTGTTCCCTACTTGTATGTCTCATAACAATAAAAATGCTTTCAAATGAGCTGATGTAGGTAACAGCTCTTAGCTTCCCAATAAAGTTAGGAATCCTTAACCTGTAAATAGCTTGTCAATAAAGCTAGGGGTCCTTAACCTTGTCAAACCCTGTGTAAAAAAAAAAAACTATTACTCACTTATCGAACACAGTCTCAATAAGACCGTAGAAGGTGTGACGGTCGTCGGCTCGTGGAAGGCCCCAGAGGAAAGGGTCCTTGTCATCGGTGATGTTGGGCAGCGCGAACTTGTAGGGCACGTCAAGGATTACTGGGATGGCTGTGAGGAACAAAAATAAGGTTGCGTACATAATTACAATATTATGAAAATGGCAGAGAGCAAAATCAGACCACATGAAAAGAATGGACTAAGTAAAGTAACTCAATAATGAGGGTACCAGAGACAAGGATCAAGGTGTTATTGTAAAAAAAATATATGAAAAAAATAGAAAAGAAGGCTCATTACTCCCTGCAACAGGAATATTAAAAATTCCCGATACACAAATAACCCGCACATAGAAGACAGGAGTTTACGACAACGTTTCGGTCCGACTTGGACCATTTACAAAGTGTGACTGTAAATGATCCAAGTCGGACCGAAACGGCGTCGTAAGCTCCTCTCTTCTATGTGCGAGTTATTTGTGTATTGTACCAGTCACGGTATTGTGTTTTTTCTTGTTGTTTATAGTCCAGATACTCAAGTACCAGGACTGAGTAGAGTCAGTGAACAAATGATCACGTCAGGGAGTGACATGTAACAAATGATCACGTCAGGGAGTGACATGTAACAAATGATCACGTCAGGGACTGACATGTAACAAATGATCACGTCAGGGACTGACATGTAACAAATGATCACGTCAGAGAGTGACATGTAACAAATGATCACGTCAGGGAGTGACATGTAACAAATGATCACGTCAGGGAGTGACATGTAACAAATGATCACGCCAGGGAGTGACATGTAACAAATGATCACGTCAGGGAGTGATATGTAACAAATGATCACGTCAGGGAGTGACATGTAACAAATGATCACGTCAGGGAGTGACATGTAACAAATGATCACGTCAGGGAGTGACATGTAACAAATGATCACGTCAGGGAGTGACATGTAACAAATGATCACGTCAGGGAGTGACATGTAACGAATGATCACGTCAGGGAGTGACATGTAACAAATGATCACGTCAGGGAGTGACATGTAACAAATGATCACGTCAGGGAGTGACATGTAACAAATGATCACGTCAGGGAGTGACATGTAACAAATGAACACGTCAGGGACTGACATGTAACAAATGATCACGTTAGGGAGTGACATGTAACAAATGATCACGTCAGGGAGTGACATGTAACAAATGATCATGTCAGGGAGTGACATGTAACAAATGATCACGCCAGGGAGTGACATGTAACAAATGATCACGTCAGGGAGTGATATGTAACAAATGATCACGTCAGGGAGTGACATGTAACAAATGATCACGTCAGGGAGTGACATGTAACAAATGATCACGTCAGGGAGTGACATGTAACAAATGATCACGTCAGGGAGTGGCATGTAACAAATGATCACGTCAGGGAGTGGCATGTAACAAATGATCAGGTCAGGGAGTGGCATGTAACAAATGATCACGTCAGGGAGTGACATGTAACAAATGATCTCGTCAGGGAGTGACATGTAACAAATGATCACGTCAGGGAGTGACATGTAACAAATGATCACGTCAGGGAGTGACATGTAACAAATGATCACGTCAGGGAGTGACATGTAACAAATGATCACGTCAGGGAGTGACATGTAACAAATGATCACGTCAGGGAGTGACATGTAACAAATGATCACGTCAGGGAGTGACATGTAACAAATGATCACGTCAGGGAGTGACTGTAACAAATGATCACGTCAGGGAGTGACATGTAACAAATGATCACGTCAGGGAGTGACATGTAACAAATGATCACGTCAGGGAGTGACATGTAACAAATGATTACGTCAGGGAGTGTCATGTAACAAATGATCACGTCAGGGAGTGACATGTAACAAATGATCACGTCAGGGAGTGACATGTAACAAATGATCACGTCAGGGAGTGACATGTAACAAATGATCACGTCAGGGAGTGACATGTAACAAATGATCACGTCAGGGAGTGACATGTAACAAATGAACACGTCAGGGAGTGACATGTAACAAGTGATCACGTCAGGGAGTGACATGTAACAAATGATCACGTCAGGGAGTGACATGTAACAAATGATCACGTCAGGGAGTGACATGTAACAAATGATCACGTCAGGGAGTGACATGTAACAAATGATCACGTCAGGGAGTGACATGTAACAAATGATCACGTCAGGGAGTGACATGTAACAAATGATCACGTCAGGGAGTGTCATGTAACAAATGATCACGTCAGGGAGTGACATGTAACAAATGATCACGTCAGGGAGTGACATGTAACAAATGATCACGTCAGGGAGTGACATGTAACAAATGATCACGTCAGGGAGTGACATGTAACAAATGATCACGTCAGGGAGTGACATGTAACAAATGATCACGCCAGGGAGTGACATGTAACAAATGATCACGTCAGGGAGTGACATGTAACAAATGATCACGTCAGGGAGTGACATGTAACAAATGATCACGTCAGGGAGTGACATGTAACAAATGATCACGTCAGGGAGTGACATGTAACAAATGATCACGTCAGGGAGTGACATGTAACAAATGATCACGTCAGGGAGTGACATGTAACAAATGATAACGTCAGGGAGTGACATGTAACAAATGATCACGTCAGGGAGTGACATGTAACAAATGATCACGTCAGGGAGTGACATGTAACAAATGATCACGTCAGGGAGTGACTGTAACAAATGATCACGTCAGGGAGTGACATGTAACAAATGATCACGTCAGGGAGTGACTGTAACAAATGATCACGTCAGGGAGTGACATGTAACAAATGATCACGTCAGGGAGTGACTGTAACAAATGATCACGTCAGGGAGTGACATGTAACAAATGATCACGTCAGGGAGTGACTGTAACAAATGATCACGTCAGGGAGTGACATGTAACAAATGATCACGTCAGGGAGTGACATGTAACAAATGATCACGTCAGGGAGTGACATGTAACAAATGATCACGTCAGGGAGTGACTGTAACAAATGATCACGTCAGGGAGTGACATGTAACAAATGATCACGTCAGGGAGTGACATGTAACAAATGATCACGTCAGGGAGTGACATGTAACAAATAATCACGTCAGGGAGTGACATGTAACAAATGATCACGTCAGGGAGTGACATGTAACAAATGATCACGTCAGGGAGTGACATGTAACAAATGATCACGTCAGGGAGTGACATGTAACAAATGATCACGTCAGGGAGTGACATGTAACAAATGGCGCTACTGGGATACTTTAATTTTTATCGTAGAGTGGAAGACTAATGAAATAAATTAGAGGAGGAGGCAGTAAATACTACGAGCACTAGATTTTTATAAATATATGAAGAAAATACTACTGATAATGGACACCTTGTAATTACACATATACAAAATAGGTAACTGCACACGACCCTTCCATGTGCCCCGCCTGCCAGGTAATACATACACATTCCTGAGGGTGCTTGGATGGGAATGGTGAACAAGAACTCAGCCACGAATTCGCTTCCTGTTGGAAACAGCAGGGAGGCGGCCCTCCTCTTCCTTGGCCTGGGTGGGATCCTTCGCTGCAGCGGAGGCGTAGCTAGTGCCTCCTGTTCCATCATCTCCCCTGGCAGCCAAGATGCCGAGGGCTGTCTCCAAGACGCAGAAGGAGATAGAAGAAAAGAGATGGGATCTAGTTACTAATTATGAAAATGCCTGATGCCATGATGTTACGAAACGTTCAGTAACTTTAAATAACAGGTGTTTCAAGGTGTGTGTGTGTGTGTGTGTGTGTGTGTGTGTGTGTGTGTGTGTGTGTGTGTGTGTGTGTGTGTGTGTGTGTGTGTGTGTGTGTGTTAAAGCGAATGTGAATTCCTAATGTTAAGTAATTGAATGCAAATTAAGCAGAAAGAATTAGCTTCACTTGTGACTCCCTCAACTACTATAGCCTAAGTCAGATTTCAGAGGCATAACGTACACTACCATCCCTTCAACGTAACAAAATATGTGAAACAACCCGAGATATTAGTAAAGTACAAGGTCAGATGAAGTTCAAAGATAAATTAAAAAGAGTATAGGGAGTGGCCGTGGCTTGGTTCGCAACACTTTCGCCTTACACACTGAGCGTCTGTGGTTCAGTCTCCGGCATGGGTGGAAATGTTGGGCATATTTCCTTACACTTACTGTCCCTGTTCACCTAGCATTAAGCAAGTACCTGGGTGTTAGTCGACTGGTATGGGTCACATGCAGGGGGACAAGATTGAAGGGCCTTGGAAGACAATACCTGTAAAGATATAGAAATGCAAAACAGTGCACCAGATGGAGACAGTGGCGCTGGTATTGAAGAAACAGATAAAGACCAAGATATACAAGCTCCATAGATACAAAATAGCAATACTGCGGAGATTAAAAAAAATGATGAAATACAAAATAGTAAACAGTAAAGTCAGAGGCGGCAACAGTGAAAAGCTCTGTTCCACAAGGTAGAGTACTCACTCTCACAGCACCGTGTCCTCCTTTTCCTGATGATACCAGAATTTGCATGACAGTGCCATCCATCGATGACTGCAAATCTCCAAGCGGACATTAACCAAATCTTTAAAAGGGCGCCAGAAAACAATTTGAAGTTTATTGAAGACAAATTTCAGTTACTCCACTATAGAAAACTCGAGGAAATATAAACTGCATCGGAGTATAAAACAAATTCCAACCACACAACACAGCGAAAAAAATTAATGTGAATGACCTGGGAGTGATAATGTTAGAGAATCTCACTTTCAAAGATCACAACAATGTATCTACCACATCTGCTAGGAAAATGATAGGATGGATAATGAGAACCTTCAAAACTAGAGATGTCAAGCCCCTGATGATTCTCTTCAAATGGCTTGTTCTCTCTTGGCTGAAATATTGCTGTACACTAACGGCCCCTTTCAAGGCAGGCAAAATTGCAAACCTGAAGAATGTAAAGAGAACTTTCACTGCACGTATAAGTACCATAAAGCACTTAAATTAATAGGAACAGTTGAATTGTGGAACGAAGGCGAGAAAGATACATGGAAAAACCTAAAGGGACTGTCTCAAATCTACACGCCTATACCACTCCGTACGAAAGCAGAAGACTCGGCAGGCAATGCAACATCCTCCCAATGAAAAGCAGAGGCGCCACGAGTACGCAAAGAGACAACACAATAAGTATCAGGGGGCCAAAGACTGATCAACTGCCTCCCATCATACATAAGGAGGATTACCAATAGACCCCTGGCTGTCTTCAAGAGGGATCTCAGCCTTCACCTACCTCCTCAATGCATCACTTGCATCCGGCTACTTCCCCACTCTCTTCAGAGCAGCCACTGCTATCCTCATCCCAAAACCCAATAAAGACCACTCTGACCCAAAAAACTACCGCCCCATCAGCTTACTCGAAGTACTGTTAAAGATCTATGAAAAAATCATAAACTCAAGACTACGTAGACATCTTGAAACAAACTCCCTTTTATACAATGGCCAATTTGGCTTCAGATCAAACCGTTCCACTCAAGACGCACTGAATTTAGTTCTAAACTACATCCACATAAACAAACACCAAGGGAATAAGACAGCCCTAGTAGCAAAAGATGTAGAGAAAGCCTTTGACACAGTGTGGCACAACGGCTTAAAGTTTAAGCTATGTTCCAACTTCGACCTCCCTCGGACTATCAGCAAACTACTCTGTAACTTCCTAGACGACAGGACCATGAGGATTAAGTTCCATTGATGCTTCTCTCAGTACTTCCCACTACAGGCTGGAGTTCCCCAGGGTTCAGTCCTTTCACCCACCCTCTACATCCTCTACACCAACGACATCCAAGCGCCTGCCTTTGACTCCAAAATCACACTTGCATATGCAGATGACATCACCCAACTCACAACCTACAGACAAATAACCACTCTTGCCCGCAGAACACAAACCGACGTAGACCAGATTACACACTGGGAACAAAAATGGAGAATAAAAACCAACCCTGCAAAATCCAAAATCACCTACTTCCACTACAGGAAACGCGAACCTCCTCCTCCAGTAATACTCAGGATAGCTGATACCCACCAAAACATCCCTGTCTCATAGACAACCAACGTATTAATAGTTAATCTAGACTACAACATGAGAATACACAAACACATCAACCAGAAGCAAGCCATTGCATCCAAGGCCCTGTCGGGGCTGTCCAAGCTATGGCGAGCCTCCAAAAAAACGAAACTACATCTATACAAAGCCCTCATCCGTCCACTAATAACTTACTGCCCACTAGCCCTCTCCCTAGCAGCTGTGACAAACAGACGTAAACTACAACGCATCCAGAACAAAGTCATACGCTGGGTGTTCAACACCCGCTGGGATGAATTCATCACAAGTGAGACCATCCACGCCCGTGCGAACATCCCTGCTCTAAACGTGTACTGGAAACAGCTTAGCGACAAACAAATAGACAGACTAGAGACCCGACATGACTACTGGACCTCATACCTAGACGACGAAATACGCAGACCAGCAAACACACACAACCTCTTCTACTCGTTACTAGCTCCTGACCCAATTCCTATATACAAATAACCTTGCTAAAATCTTGACTCACTAACCTGTAACTCACAGGTATGGACCATTAATAAAGCCCTTGTACCATGCGATTCACGCTTTGTCGACCCCCTCCCCCCCTTCCCCCTACCAGTTCCTTAGTTGCGCACGAACTCCTGAATCGCCTTCAGCTCAGCTACTGGGTTAAGCCCTGGTTCTTTCCCTCTTACAATAACCCTTCCTCTAACCAACCTATTCTTCCTCTATCCCCACTTCCCCACTCACCCCTTCTTGGGGTCTTACCTAGAATCTATCGCTGTCGCTATCGTAAAGTCAGTACCTGACCAGCCTGGCTGTGATTCGTACGTCGGTTTCCGTGCGGCCAGCAGTAACAGTCTGGTTGATCAGGCCCTGATCCATCACGAGGCCTGGTAAGAGACCGGGCCTCGGGGGCACTGATCCTCGGAATACCCTCAAGGTATACTCCAGGAAATAAGACAATCCTCGATGACGCACTGACTTTTTTGAGTTATACTATGTGGGTAACACTCTGGATTAAAAGTCAGAACAAATTTACTTCTATCTATGAATACAGCTTGACCAGGACATCATGAAACATCTGTGACGGCAGTGCAGCGGCAGAGTATACCGACAGTATGTAAATAAGACACGAAATGCAATAACCCACATTTTGTGTCTAATTTACAGTCTGTGACGGCGTAATTTCTTTTGTGACATCAGGAATTGAGCGATAAAAGACAGCTATAAGAAGGACCAAGTGTTAGAATATAGCATGAAAGTAGCATGTGAAAAATGATGGTGCTGTTTTGTCCAATAGGAAACAATACAGTGTCTCATGACACGGATCTGTCAGAGGATGACCCCGATCAATGACTTGGCATTCAGTAGTCTTACGAAGCTGGATTTTACACAATATTTAAAAAAAGAAGACTCACTGCCTGGTAATGTCATCAGGTGTGACACAAGGGGAGAGGATAGGGTGGTGGTGGGGAACTCGGCTGCTACAATTTGGGCTGTAATGGTGCGAGAGAACGAGGGTTTGAGAAAGCCATTGTTGGAAAAGTCACGGGGCATGTCCAAAAAATTCTACTAGCTAGCTGTGTAAAGGAATTATTGGAAGGTAGTGTGTCGACAAGTATGGGTACCAGAGACAGAGGAAGATCTTATTAAAGCTAATATTCCTCAAGAAGAGTTTGATCAAGCCATGATGTGGTTTTTTAACAGAAGTAGAGACAGCTTGAGAAGACGAGGAGAGACAGTCTCAAGAAATGAGAGAGAGCATAATATTATTTAAGGATACAATTAAAAAAATGACTAGTTGAAGTCTGTATGAGAGCAAAGCAAATGTTTAAGTAAACAACAAGACACACATAAATCCTGTAGATGTAAATAACGCGCACACACATACATACACAAACACACACACACACACACACACACACACACACACACACACACACACACACACACACACACACACACACACACACACACACACACACACACACACACACACACATCCACACACACACACACACACAAATAGGTGAGTACACACAACAACAAATGGGTGAGTACACACACACACATGTTAGCGAACACTGTCTTAGAATCGTGGGTGGGTGGACGGAAACATTATATGCTGCACAATCTCAGGAATAGATACGATTCCCCAGGAATCAATAAATTTTGCCGATAGGAGTTAAGAAGTGAGGTAAGGATCTATAACTAGACCCTGTAGGCATTACCAGGTAAATACAACTAGGAAAGTACGCACAGAAACCGTCATCAACCCTTGTAAAGCCAGTAACACGTGCAAAGCTAGTTTCAAATACGTAAAAACAGGAAATAACAAATGAAAACCGTGTTATACATGTATTCCCGAGACAAGGTTCAATAACAGTAAGTTAGTGGCAGGACAGCGAATCAAGAACGACCAACAGGATTTTGTGCCCAAGGTTTTTGTGCCAAAGGTCTTTGTGCCAGGGGTCTTTGTGCCAGAGGCCTTTGTGCCAGAGGCCTTTGTGCCAGAGGTCTTTCTCCAAAGTCTTAGTTTCTCTCCAAAGAACCAAGTCCACTAGCAGGTGGCAAGTACAGCCAGGCATACCTCAAGCTTATTAAAATAGGAGCCGGAGTCGAGGTCTTGTGTGTCTAGTCGAGCGTCAGGAGAAACAGTAGCTATTGAAAGTAGCTCTGTTTCATCGCTGAAGATTTCCACACAGTGAACCTGGTAGCCGGGGTGTGACACCACCACCAACACCAGCAGCTTCATCGTCTTTTCCAGTAAGGTCCTCATTGTCACCATTTCGTCTGTTGTCTCTAGTAGGAAAGAAGGTTACAGTGGTGATGGGAATATAACCCAGTAACTATATATTATTAGAAAAGGTTAACCCTGAACGTCTTCACTTATTCTGCTAAAGTAACAACAACAACAGTAATAATAATAACAATAATATTAATAATAATGACAGCAACAATTACTGTAGTGTATTTTTTTAAAACCATAAGTAATGAAAAAGTGGTATTTATTATTATTATTAATTATTATTACTATAACTACTATTATTCTTCGCCTGTTGTTTTAATTAATATACAAAACAAACTCATATATATATATATATATATATATATATATATATATATATATATATATATATATAATATGTATATATGTATATATATATATATAAACTAGTGCATATAAAATGTGTATACATGGTGAAGGTGCGCATGAAAGAGCTCAGTTTGCTCTTTACAAGTGACTAAGAGAGAGTGTTGTAATATCCTGTGAGTAAATCTGTCTTACTCTCACCGTAAGTATGACACCATGCTAGAAGTTCATTAACACAGCTGTTAAAGCACCGTCCCTTAGTATATGGAACTTGAAGGGCAGTTACGTAGCTGTTTCAACGTTTAAGACGTGGGTTATCCTGGTAACTTTCACTGGTTAAGTCAGAGATTAAGTCAGAAATGGTTGGTCCTCACTGATCCATAAATCGTTAATAAAAATACACCTGACTGAAGACACAGTTATTGAAAACACTAATATATGTAAAATATCAATATCTGATCTCAGGTACAATGACAATAATTGTCGTGTGTAGATATATATAAGTACTTTCTCTCAAGCAATTTATTGTTTTAGTGTGTGGTCGTATCTAACACAGAAAACCAATGTTGGTGTGAGGGGGGGGAGAGGGTCTACCGGATACAATATCATTGATTCTAACTAAGTTCAATTACTCACAATTTCACTCAGTTTTTGGATGATTACACGTGACTTACATAATAAACATATATGTAAATTACCTAGGATAATCTCAAAAAAATAACAGTATTTCCATCCGGTCCTTTTTGGAGTTATTGTTATTAAGCAAATACTACTAAGTTACTTTTGATTTAGGTTTTGACGTATATAGCATATTATTGTTTATACAAGAGTCTTGACCCCTGCAGATTTAGCGCTTCCCAATGAATATTAATAATATTCAATCCCTTCATGAGGGTGCCTTCATGCCGGCGAGGGGATCTTGATCTAAGGAATTAGAGCTACCCTCTCCTTCCTTGGATCACACTTGTTTCCTATGCTCAAGACCAAGGGGTCTTAACTAGGGGTATGGGAACCAAATAATGGGGAATGGGAACCAAATAATGGGGAATGGGAACCAAACAATGGGGAATGGGAACCAAATAATGGGGAATGGGAACCAAATAATGGGAGTATGGGAACCAAATAATAGGGGTATTAGAACCAAATAATAGGGGTATGGGAACCAAATAATAGGGGTATGGGAACCAAATAATAGGGGTATGGGAACCAAATAATAGGGGTATGGAAACCAAATAATAGGGGTATGAGAACCAAATAATAGGGGTATGGGAATCAAATAATAGGGGTATGGGAACCAAATAATGGGGGAATGGGAACCAAATAATTGGGGAATGGGAACCAAATAATAGGGGTATGGGAACCAAATAATGGGGGAATGGGAACCAAATAATGGGGAATGGAAACCAAATAATGGAGAATGGAAACCAAATAATGGGAGTATGGGAACCAAATAATAGGGGTATGGGAACCAAATAATAGGGGTATGGGAACCAAATAATAGGGGTATGGGAACCAAATAATAGGGGTATGGGAACCAAATAATGGGAGTATGGGAACCAAATAACAGGGGTATGGGAACCAAATAATAGGGGTATGGGAACCAAATAATAAGGGTATGGAACTCTGTCTCTGAATACTGCCGTTTTTTCCTCTAAATAAATGTGATAAATATCTCGTGATTTTCTTTCAGCTGTTATGTTGCTGGTTGTCCAAGTGCAAAGTGTAAACAAGCCATGGAGGTCTTTTGAAGTTATGCTGGTACCTAATAGGACTGGTGGAGATGGTGGTGATTTCCAGTCTGGTGGAGGGGGGGGGGTATGTGGACATAATTGGGTAGTCCATTTGAGGGAGGGGGAGGTCTGTAACCGTAATAAGGTTAAGGAACCCTGCCATTGGTGCTGTATGAGCCTTGCGGGTTTAGCGTTTCCTGACGATATCCGGATATCCTGATCTTTCTACTGCTGTCTCGACCTTACAAAGTTTCAACCGATATTTAAACTCAGCCATTAAACTTCTTCGTTTTCTTAAGTTTTATACTAACATATTTAACCCAGATATTAAAACCTCAGATATTTAACTCCACCATTTAAGATATTTAACCCACATGGACGTGTATTTCTCTCTGCGTATATTCACTAAGAATTTACTTAATCCCTATTTTAGGCATTAAGTATGCTTGTCTGGTGTGAAGGTTACGTACAGCATTAATGACCATTGTGTAATAGATGGGTTTTAAACCCCCATTAACCAACCAACTCCACTGTTTAAGCTAAGCCATTTAACTCCCTTTATATTATATTAACTCCGTTATTTAAACAAAATTATTTAATTCCATCTTTACAGCTATAATATTAACCCCCGTTTTTCGAAATTAACTAGTCTTGTATTTTTGTCATTAAACTGAGGTGTTTAATATGTATATTTAAACTGACCTTCAAGCTCTCTTCTTTACTGATATTCATGTATTTTTTTTTTTTTGCACTTTAAGTGATTTATTGTGTTATGTGGTGTTATTATGTGTTGTATAGTATTACTGTGTGTTGCTTTATGGTGTTTTTGTGTGTTGTGTGATCTTATTGTGTACTGTGAAGTGTTACTGAGTGTTCGTAGTGTTGTGCGTTATGTGGTGTTATTGTTTATGTAGGGTTATTGTGCTATGAGGTGTGTGTGTGTGTGTGTGTGTGTGTGTGTGTGTGTGTGTGTGTGTGTGTGTGTGTGTGTGTGTGTGTGTGTGTGTGTGTGCACTCACCTAATTGTGGTTTCAGGGGTCGAGACTCCGCTCCTGGCTCCGCCTCTTCACCGACCGCTACTAGGTCCACTCTCCCCCTGCTCCATGAGCTTTATCATATCTCGTCTTAAAACTATGTATAGTTCCTGCCTCCACTACATCGCTTGCCAGACTATTCCACTTCCTAACTACTCTATGACTGAAGAAATACTTCCTAACATCCCTTTGACTCATATGAGTCTTCAGCTTCCAATTGTGACCCCTTGTTTCTGTGTCCCGTCTCTGGAACATCCTGTCTCTGTCCACCTTTCTATTCCACGCATTATTTTGTATGTCGTTATCATGTCTCTCCTGACCCTCCTGTCCTCCAGTGTTGTCAGACCGATTTCCCTTCACCTTTCTTCATAGGACATTCCCCTTAGCTCTGGAACTAGCCTTGTTGCAAACCTTTGCACTTTCTCTAATTTCTTGACGTGTTTGACCAGGTGTGGGTTCCAAACTGGTGCTGTGTGTGTGTGAAACAGATTTTTCCCGTCCTTGCCATTAAAAAATCGAGCCAACAAGGCTATGAAAATGTGTATGTATGTATATGTCTACGTCCGTAAGTATACGTACGCATATGTGGGAATGTATGACCGGTTGAGATAATCACTGGACGATACCTGACAAGTGGTTCCCGTAGAGTTGAAAATAACTTTTAAAAATTTAATTGCACAAACTGCTTGATAATCATTTTTTACAGATATTTCTTGTCTAGTTTATACTGCAGGAACCAACAGACTGATCATAATAAAACTCGCACCTCATATGCTACAATTTTCTTGAACGAGTGTACAGTAGTTTTAACGGCTCTCGTGTAGTTAGTAGGGCTGAAGCACGACATAAATGAATAAATGTAAAATAATCTGAAGTAAAAAAAACCACAGAAGTAAAAAAAAAAAAAACAGAAGCTGAAATATAAATACTGTCCTCGTACCAGAATGCGACTTTCCTTGTATCAACTCACCCGCTCGTTTTACAACAAGGCACTGCCTTCTTCCTGCTGCCCTGAGTCCTCACCAGTTGTAGGACTTCCTATCCCTGATTTTGTAAGTGCTTATATGTAATAGGATTTTCTCTTACTACCACGAGTGCTCATTAGTAGTATGACTTTTATTCCTGGTTCTGTGAGTGCTACCAGTAGTAAAACTTCCTCTTCTCGATCCCGTGAATACCTACCAGTAGCGGTACTTTCTCTTCCTGCTGTCTTGACTACTACCAGTGTCAGAATTTCCTCTACCCAATGAGTGTTCACCACCAGCAAGATCTCAGTAACTTCAATGAAATGTTCCAACAGAAGCTGCCTGAAGGAGTATTGAATCCTGTTCTTTTCAGTGATGATGTCTGGATCCTCTTCTCACAGATTCTGGGGCCTAGACCTTCCTATTACAAACACTAGGAGGCTAACTCTTCTTGTCGCGAGCACTGAACTCTTTTTCACAAGCCAATAGTGCCTAGATCCTCTTGTTACAGATACTGGAAGTTTTGGTTCCCTTCATAGTGAACCAGGCGAAAATGTAAGTGCGCAAAACTCTCACAACCTCAGAATGTTCGTAAATTATCAAATTTACGGATCTTTGCTGGTTCAACCCTTCTTCACAATATGTAAGAAAAGAATCAAAGTCATTTCATAGACATAGAGAATGTTATAAGCCTTCTTGCCAGTCTCAAGATATCTCAAGTCTCTTTTCACAGAAATACACTTTTGCTAGATTTGTTTTCCACAAACAGAGGCTAAGGTGACAGATCTCATAGACAATACTTTTCAGTAACTTGAGTGCTGTGTACACTACCGAAGAGGTATCCCTATGTGGTGGGCTGTGTCTGCCGTGAATGTAGACAAACCAGGAGTGGCCAAGCAAGTAAAGTGGAAGGCCATCTTGTAGTAGAGGGAGTGATTCTGCTGGTCACGCCGCGGAGCAATACTTGGAAACAGGGCGTGTGTCCTCATTGGTGGGGCTGACGCTCCCTCCCATCCGAACACCGGAGAGAGAGGCGGGATGAAGAGAGAAAGAGAGAGAGGGTAAGGACTGAACGAAGTATTGCGTCTGTGATGACTCCATGTTCTAGATCCACCAGCAAGAGGCTAAATTTGGG